TCCTATAGATATTTATGTTGTGTGATATATCTATATTCTTTGGTACAATTGATTTTTCATGATTACTATTCATGAGTTATTATCATAATAATATTCTGGGATTGAAAACCCATATGTGTATCACCAGGTTCCCAAACCCTGACCCACTCAAATTAGATGCATCACAACCTAAGGTTACTGGAACTTGATCATGTCGAGTGAATAAGAGACAACCTACAATAGTATTTAGGACTGACATGTCTTTACGTTGTAACTCATGTTGTGTATTGGTATGACATCCTTAGGGTTTTGTTATTTTGAAACAACATTTGTACTCAAAATGTTTTAATAAACTGAGATTTTCCGCAAACAAATATAACATGGTTTTAAAATCATAAAGGAATTAAAGTTTTTTTCGGTTCTAGAAAATAGGGATTATTAGAAAAAAAACACGATGTCGTGTTGTGTCATTTTCGTGTTTAATATTCGACATCAAATTGACATGATTTAACATTTGTTTGTCGTGTTTTTCGTGTGATGTATTATTAAGTATTAATTAAATAAACTAATTGTTATTTTATGTTATCTTTGTCGTGTTGTGTCATGTTTGTTATTTTTTAATTGGTTCGTTTTTGTGGTATTAAAAAAACACGATATCGTGTCGTGTCATATTCGTGTTACATATAACATTGTTGTGTCGTGTCAAACAAAAACACGAAATAATTGGCCGATTTTCCACCCTTACTTACAGACTACCAATGCACAATTCGAATTTCGAATATGATGATGTCGTTGTCTAATATGTTACCCGATTAAATCTAGATTTTATCCATTCTCTTTTTCCGAAGGCTTCTAGAATATTTCGTCTACTTATCCACAAAGTCAACGGAAGCCAACATTGACCAGGTTGATCCAACCGACTCGACCCAAACTCATTAAAAATAAAAGCTCCCAACAAAGTGCCAAGTGCGCCTAAATCGCACACTCGCATGTACGGCTAAACTAGACGTATGTGTGTGTTTGACCCATCTCTTGTCTACATTAAAGCCCGCGAAGCCCTAACATGAGAGAAGACTTATAAACCCACTTTTGGTTTCTTCCCCTACCAATGTGGGATAAAGGAAATAGCCAACTTGTTTATTCCTCTACAATTTTAATCAAGCCATTCAATTATCGATCTCGAAATCGGGAAAGGAATGTTACACCGCTTAGCCACCAGATTTAACACATTGGAAGCTGCTTAACAGAAGAAAAAGAGATGACCAATAGATTCCACTCTGTAGGCATCCGATGGATTGTAACTCCATACCCCTTCTAGATAGATTTCACGTTATAGGTAGCTGATCATGAAGCATACACCACATAAACACATTAGATTTACTCGGGACAACTTTGCACCGCCGTGTTGGAATTTATATGACCGGGGACCTTGTCATGGATATACCCCTTTATCAATTGTCACTCCAACCGAGAACTACCCTATTCCATCTAGCGACCAACACCACAAATAAGGGACCGATGAAAGATTAACTGGTTGCCCCTCTCCTAAAAAATCATTAAATTGTTCATCTAAAACGCCAACGAAGAACTCTCCTAGAAGATCATTAAATTGTTCATCTAAAACGCCACCAAAGAACTCTTTTGACCAACTCCATCTCCATTCACCATGCATGCATCTCTAAATAAAATTACAATCAATCTGGTTTATAGTCAAACTAGGAAATTGAAACGGTTGTTGAAGAGTTGATTGCCCGACCAACACTACAAGAAATCAGGTCATTGCCAGAGACACAATTACGGCGACAATGATTTTTAGCGGTGACTTAAGCTTACGTCGCTGCAAAAAATCATTGTCTTCAGTAAAAATGCCGCCGAAAATGTCGGGAAAATCACGTTCCGCATTAAGCCGTTCTTTCAAACCCTATCCGTTCGATCTATCTACGATCCAAGGGTTGGGGTCATCCGTCTCGTTTAATCAGTAGTGGCGACACCAATATCGGCGACAGTATCGCCGCTAATAGTTGAAAAATAAACCGCAATTTTTTCCCTTTTTCGCTATCACCGTTATTTCCTAATTGCCGCTGCTATTGATCTACCATCGCCGTTATTAACCGTTGCCGGTATTTCCTGTCGCAGATATACCATAACGACCTGTCTTCCATCTCATTCTGTTACATTTCAATTTCTCTCATTTTTCCTCCGATTTTCGACCGACTCAGCCAACAAAACCAGCGAAGGCCACTGTGAATCTTCCCCAAGCTACCCCACTGACATTACCGACAACCACTAGTACGATGAGGCTGTCTTCTCCGGCGACTAATGCGCAATTTCGACGACTGAGGTGTAATTCCTTCCTCATTTCTCATTTTCTTTCTCTTTTAATGTCAATTTCCAGGTTATTGTTGAGTTAATTGCAAAAAAAATCATTAATTTTAGTTTATTTTAGTTGTTGGATCGACTACCACCACCACCACTACATCACCTTATTGATTTCCAGCCACCATTCTTGATTTCCAGCCACCACAGGTTCCTTTCTCCTTTAATTTCGAGATTATTTGCAAAATTTGTGTATTTGTATCCGTTATGTGAAATTAGTCATATATGTATATATTTGGTATATATCTATGCGTATTTGTATGGTATATGTATGTGAAAGTATGTATAATGTGTATTTGTATGTATAAAAACATGAATGTGGAATATTGTCACTACTATAAAAACACCTTTTAATGACATGCATTGCGTGTCATAAAAGCCACAGATGACACGCAAATGCGTGCCAAGGAAGGCCCTTTCACAAAGAAAGACGACACACATTTGTGTGTCGTAACATTACGACGCGTATTTACGACACGCTCTTATGACACAGAATGCGTGTCAAGAAAGACCCTGTCATAAAGAAAGACGACACACATTTACGTGTCGTAACCTTACGACGTGTATTGCGTATCATTGTAGCTTCTGTCATAAAGGAAGACGACACACATTTGCATGTCATAATTTTAAATGTTTAAAAAATTATATATATATATATATATATATATATATAATATATATATATATATATATATATAATATATATATATAGATATATGCACTAATTTTCAAATTAAATTTCCACTAATATGTCGTATAGAAATAACCATTCCCATACCAAATTAATGCAATACATTAACTTTTTCATCATATCATCAATTTTCCTAACAAAACACAATCTCCATATAAGACATATGTTCAAACCCATTTACCTAAAAAGAACAAGTAAGTTCTCATTTGATTGTCTACATTGCAACTTTAAGCCTTATAACTTCACCACTTGAATGATGATCTTGGCACCATTCTCCTTCATACCTAACACACTCCACATATTCATGCTGAATATCAACTACTTGAAAATGGTTCAATCAACCTGCAAAAGTTTATAGCCAACTTCACAAGTCATAAATACTAAATTACAAATTTTTCTCCTTTTTTGACATTTCATAACGAGTTTGGTCTGTGGATTCTAAAATCTAACTAATCAGTTGTTATATTTTAAATGATAATTCTGTTGGACCAAACCTGAATAAAACAACATACCATAGGGACCAATTTTGTAACTTATTGTAATTTATTGGTATGTAATTTACTAATTACATGTGTTAAAGGTTCCTTGTTATAAAATATAAATGATGGGTGCAATGACTATTTTTTGCTTTATTCCTTCCCTCACAAATGTATGATGTTTGATATATAGTGCTAATATCATGTATATGGTCAAGTCAAGTTGTTGAGTTGAAGTACCTGTGCGATTCTCTTACTTTCTGAAACTCGTAAGGGGTCGGTGGCAAGTAATATAATACATAATCAACATTTCTTACTAGTAGACAATCAAGGCTTTCACCTTCCTCTCGACTTGGTAACAACTAATCCTTACCACTAAAAAGATGTGAAAATAATGGTTGGTTAGCAGAGCAGCCTATGATGACAACTAAAAATTAATAAATAAAAAAATAAAAAGAAAAAGAAGTAGAAGCGCAGGGAACATTAGAGTTTAAAAAACTGAAAGTGAACATGGAGAGAACAAGTGTCTGAGAATTGATAGCATAGAGGCATGAATTGGTGTATGAACAAGATGAATCAAGCAACTTCAATTTCCATACAAGTGTCTCCACATAAAATACTTCAACTAGGCCCTGTAACATCAACCAATCCACCAACCATGTCTTTTAACTTTCTGCTCAAACGAAAATTTAAACATTAGAGTAAAATATAGAGGTAAAAACCATAGACAACGTATTTTCATCAAACACAATTGTTTTAGATAGACATATTGTCAAACGCATGGTATGCATAACAAATTTTTTAAACTCCATATTGGATAAAGAAAAGAAAGTAACTAACATAGAATAGTTTAGAAATTCTCTTGCACAACAAAAATTGAAGGGTTTTAGATGAGGCCTTACATGTTAAATAAGTATAAGAAACACTAAACAATAACTTTTATAGAAATAAAAACTGGAACTATTTTTTAAAAAAATTTCTCTATATTCCACTCTTTTGATGACAATACCCTTGCAATTTAAAAATATGAAAAATCCATATCTATGAAATTCTTTTCATGCATTAAAAGAACTATTTAATTAAATATTTTTGGGACGATACCCTTGGAATTCCAAAGCACCCAAATCTAATGAGAAGAAAATATGTTGATTTAGGGTAATTACCATGCACAACCAAGAAAAGATATATCATGAAACTAATTTTCGATGTGCTGAAAAAGTATTAAAATGTCAACAAATTACAATAGTACAAACCTTATGATTAGATCTCAATAAGCACTTGGTATTTGATAACAATTTAAAGGTAATATTTTATTTTCCATGTCCCCCTAAAACATAAATTCATCATATGCATCAAATATGATAGTAAATTCCAAATTCATACGTACCAGACAGGAAAACAAAAAACAAGTGTCTAAGCATTATAGTTCAAAAAACTGAAAGTGAACCTGGTGATGGAATCACATTCATGCTTTCCTCTTAAAAGAAAGAAGTTTTCAGGGAATTTGATTTTGTAGGCGAGTAAAAGGCATATGGTTTCAATACTCTGCTTCCCACGATCCACATAGTCCCCAAAAACAAGTAATTTGCATTTGGAGGAAACCATCCATATTCAAACAGCCTTAACAGATCACCATATTGTCTATGAATGCCACCTAGTTTTCATAGAGATCAAACAATAAAATATGAACTCTACAACATAAAATCTGAATAAAAAAAAAGATAAGATGCTCACGACAAACAACAAATACACAGTGGAACAAGATAATGAAAAATCGCAACAAAACTAATAGTATTTGAATTTTGAATACATCAAGGAAATCATATTATCGTTTTTCTTACCACATATCTTAATGGGAGCTTCGAGCTCTAGAATATTAGGTTGTAGAAGAAAGATTTCTCGAGCAGTGACACATAGTTGACGAATCTCTGCTTCTGAAAGCTGAACCTGTCGGACGGTTCTCGCTAGCCGGAACTCCAATAGCCGATTGATTATATCATCGAGTACAACAAGGTCTATTTCCTGTCCAGTTTGGGCCATTGATCTCTAAATACTTCTACATCCCTTGAATTTTCACTGAAAACCGGGTTCTCAAAAACACCCAGAAACCCTAGATTGTAAAACAAAAACAAACAAGAAGAAATCGAAATTTGTACTCTAGGTTTTTTCAGAAAAATTTGATGGAGGCTAGGTACGTAGTGAGGCGGTGTTGATGGTAGGGGGTGGAATGGTCATTCGTCACAATAACAAAAATCAATCACGTCTCCGGTGAATCGTTGATTGCAGAGGTGGGCAGCGATAGTCGGTTTTGTTGAAAGGTAGAAGGAGCAAAAGGGATCAGCTACAAAGTGACCATGGAAACAAGGAAAAAAGGGGTTTTCGGCGGTGGAAATAAAAGATAGTGAGAACAAGTCGGGGTTTTTAATTTTTGGGGGATTTCATTTCCCCCCTTAGGTATTAAAAGATGAGGCGCACGTCTCTTTAAAAAAAATATAAAACGACATCCTTTGACGACACACATTTTATGATAAGCGCCTTCTGTGTTTTTTACACTAATTTTAGGTCACGCAAAAATGCATGTCCTAAATCCTTCAAATATTTGTAGAGCTGACATTATTTTTAGGTCATGCACTTTTGTGTATCATAAACTACTGTGTGTCATGGTTTGCGTGTCATTAAAGAGCTGGCATTATTTTCCTTTTTTCGCTATCGCCGCTATTTCCTAATTGTCTCTACTACTGATCTACCATCGCCGTTATTAACCATCGCCAGTATTGCATGTCGCAGATACACCATAACGACCTGTCTTCCATCTCATTCTGTTACACTTCAATTTCTCTCATTTTTCCTCCGATTTCAGACCGACTCAGCCAACAAAACCGGCGAAGGCCACTGTGAATCTTCCCCAAGCTACCCCACTGACATTACTGACAACCGCTAGTACGATGAGGCTGTCTTCTCCGACGACTAAGGCGCAATTACGACGACTGAGGTGCAATTCCTTCCTTATTTATCGTTTTCTTTCTCTTTTAATGTCGATTTCCAGGTTATTGTTGAGTTAATTGCAAAAAATTGTTAATTTCAGTTTATTTAATTGTTAGATCGACTACCACCGCCACCACTGCATCACCTTATTGATTTCCAGCCACCATTTTTGATTTCCGGTCACCATAATTTCCTTTCTCCTTTAATTTCGAGATTATTTGCAAAATTTGTGTAGTTGTGTCCATTATGTGAAATTAGTCATATACGTAATATTTAGTATATATCTATGCGTATTTGTATGGTATATGTAGGTGAATGTATGTATAATGTATATTTGTATGTATGAAAACATGAATGTGGAATATTGTATGTGTGTATAGTGTATGTATCTGTGTGGATAATGTGTATTTATATGTATGAAATATGGATTGTATGTATGTATAATGTGTATTTGTATGAATGAAAACATGACATTATGTATGTATATATATATATATATATATATATATATATATATGCAATTTATATGTTATGTGGATTGTATGTATTTTTTGTAAAAAAACAATGTGCGTTGTAAAAAAAACAAATAAAGTAGGATGCTATGATTGAAAAAAAAACAAATAAAGTAGGATGCTATTTTTTGTAAAAAAACAATGTGGATTGTAAAAAAAACAAATAAAGTAGGATGCTATTATTAACAATGAAAACATAAAGTAAACCACTACAATAGAAAGCAACATAATATAATTGTTTAAAATACAACGCTATAATTGAAAAAAAAAAACAAAACAATGTTATAAATTACAAAAATATAAAAAAAAGTACAATGCTCAAATAGAAAAAAAAAGTGTAATATTTAAAGTACAATGTTGTTATAGAAAACTTATGTAATGATTATTTGTAATAGAAAATTTATTTGGATTCCTAGTTTAAATAGAAATGTTTATTCCTATGTAATGTGTATTTGTCCCAAGTGAAAGAAATAGCAACGTACTTTGGTTTTTTGTCTTAGTTTAAAAATAGCAATGTACTTTGGCATCAACAAATGCATGTTGATTTGGTAATTGTGTTTTTGTCCTTAATGCAAGAAATAACAATGTACTTTTGGTATTTCTTGTATTTAAGTGCAAGAAATAGCAATGTACTTTGGTATTTCTTGTATATAAGGTTCTTTAGCATAAAAAAGTAGATTATTTAATTTCAAAGTCTCATGTATCTATATCATGATCAATAAATGCATGTTCATTTGGTAATTGTGTTTATGTTTTAGGTGCAAGAAATAATAATGTACTTTTGGTATTTCTTGTATTTAAGTGTAAGAAATAACAATGTACTTTGGCATCAATAAATGCATGTTGATTTGGTAATTGTGTTTTTGTCCCAAGTGCAAGAAATATTTTTTGTATTTAAGTGCAAGAAATAGCAATGTACTTTGGTATTTCTTGTATTTAAGGCCCTTTAGCACAAAAAAGCAGATTATTTAATTTCAAAGTCTCATGTATGTATATAATGATCAATAAATGCATGTTGATTTGGTAGTTGTGTTTATATTTTAAGTGCAGGAAATAGCAATGTACTTTGGTTTTTTGTCCGTAGTTTCAATATAGCAATGTACTTTGGCATCAATAAATGCATGATAATTTGGTAGTTGTGTTTTTGTCCCAAGTGCAAGAAATAGCAATGTACTTCTAGTATTTCTTGTATTTAAGTGTAAGAAATAGCAATGTACTTTGGTAGTTTTTGTTTATGTTTGATGATTTTTTTTGGAACGGCGGAAATTTATTAAAAAACTAGCAAGAAGCTAGAAAAAGGAAATTACAATAAATTACAAGCAATACCAGGATCATGAAGCCATGAAGTCCAAGAGATATTAGCTTTACTACACCTATTCGTGACCCAAAAATAAGAATTTTTACCACATCATCAAAAATGACCGATTTCCTAGGCAACACCGTTCCAAAGATAATGGAATTACGGAAATTCCAAATACACCAAGAAGCAGTTATGATCACCGCATCAAAAGCTTTCCGTTGACCACTTCTCCAAGGGAATGAGTTTGACCAAAACAAGATCGAGTCCATGGAAAGATGATGAGGAAGCTGAACACCCCACCAATGGCAACCCTAGTCCAAAGATCAATCAAATCACTACATCCTAGAAACAGATGATCAATGGATTCAACTGTAGTGGAACAAACTGGACACAAGATCGAATCCAACAAAATACCCCTATGAGAAAGATTTGCTCTAGTAGGCAGCCCGTTTAATCTTAATCTCCAAATGAAAATATTCAACTTAATTGGAACTCAATTATTCCAATAAGTTACGCCACCACCTGTAGGCAACATACCATTATCAATAAAAAGACCTAGCTGAAGCAACCGTAAAGTGGTCAGACGAATCCAAGAGCCATCCCAACCGTTTATGTTTGATGATTTAACTAATAAGTTTATATATGTTGTTATTTATTATGTAGTTGCAAAATCTTCGGGCAATTCTCAACAACCCGGTATGCGTTTTGTCAATCGGGGAAAGATCAATGAGGAAACAACTGGAATGGAGATGATGGTTCGTCGGATAATTAGTTTGTGTTTTGTATGTTAGACTTGTCATAAAACTTTGGTACTTGTTGGAATTATAAAATTTTGGTTGTTTATTTTGGTATGAAATTAATTAGAACACTATTTGGTACCTAATCGGATGTTATTAGGTAATTTTTTTCTACATTTAATTTCGTTATGTATCGGTTTTTTTTGTATCCAAAATCGTTAATTAAAAAAATAAAAATGAAAAATGTTATTATCGGCGACACTATTACCAGCGACAACAAAAGGGATTACCGGCGACAAAAGCATTAACGACGACACAGGGTATTACCGGCAACAATTTAAGCAATAGCGACAGAGCAATACCGACAACCTTTTACCGACGACTTGTCGCTGCTATTGCCTTTACCAACAACTTTGCTAGCCTTTACCGACGACTTTTATCGCTGTTAATTTCCTTTTTTCTTGTAGTGCAAACATTAGACCAAAAACTAGCTTGTCACCTTTGCCCACTTTGAACTTCAATGTTTCTTTTGGGATCACATACCATGTGGAGTTGGTTAATGGAACCCACAATATTATTCTTTGAAATGAAGTGTTTATTATATATACTATCAATTCCTAAAACCTTCGCTGCTACAGTGAAGTTTCCTCTCTTTCTTATTTGCACACGAAAGTCTTCTCCTTTCTTATTTTGCCACTGTAATTTTGGGTTTACCTGCTGAATACTTTCGTTTCCTTGGTGCTTATCTTCTTCTCCTGAACGTTGGTGGCCCCTTTATTCCTCGAATAAGGTCCGAATTTTGGTTTACTTGCTGATTAGCTTCTTTTCCTTCGTGCTTATCTTCTTCTCCTCTGCGTCGGTTGACGCCTTTTTCCTCCAATAAGGTCCGTTTGTGTTTTCTTTAATGTGATTTTTACTTATTTCTTCCTAAAATAGCTACACTCCATCTTGAAAAGTTGAAATGGGTTTAATACACATCTCCAGGTGTTTCAATTTCTAAACTATTAAATCTAATTTACTTAATCTTTCAATTTATTATCGTTATCAGCAATGGATTAGTTGACTGCATATCTTAGTTAATCAAGTTGTTTTTAAGCAAGGAAAATATATTCTGAGCCGTGAGAACCCACTTTTTGATTATCGTATTGCTCTGGCTCTCATCAGCTTTTTCATATTTCTCTTTAAATTCGACCACATGTATGACATCTTTTATCTCCCTCAATAAGAACTTCCAATTTAATCTTTCCCCTGCAAAAACCATCGTTTCTTTACATGGATTTTGTTTCATATTTGTAGGTGTTTGACGGGATGAGAAAGCAGGAACAGGTATGTGTGTTCGTGATTATTAGAGAAATTTGAAGAAACTGAGGAAGCCCACCAGGTGTTTGATAAAATGCCTATTTGAAATCTGGGTTTGAAATCAATAAATGGTAAAGTATTCTTATCAATTTCAGCCATCTTTCTCCACCAACTAAAATTGTCATCCATTTGCAAATTTAGCTTTCAAAGTTTACATTCTCTTATAAAGTCAGTAATACAAACAATTACTAATTTCCTTTTTTGGTTAATAACAAAATTTTACAATAACTTTATAATTACTCCCTGAATAACTAAAAATAGCTAAAAAAGAAATAGGTCGAAAGTGTATTCAAACGCTTGATCATTTTATTATTTGGATCTTCGTTTTTGATTTTGTGAACATATTAAATTCATTAGTAATTTTCATGTTAAGAAATGAAGAGAAAATGCTATATTTGTTTGTATTTTGGATGCAAGGGTATTTTAGTCAAATGTATAATTGGGTGACATTCAATTTGTATATTGGTAAAAAATTTTTGTAAATTTGTGAAGTGGATCATAAATGGTATGGGCAGTAATTGGATCTTTAATTCTTTATTATTAGGAGGTGATTAGGTGATTTTTCGAGTAAAGGGCATTTTGGTCAAAACTGAAAAATACCGGACATAATAGATAGATAATATATTGTATATAGACAACATACGCATTACAGCCTTAATCTGAATGAACATGGTGTAACCCATACAAATGTAGGCAATGTACTTTTTTGAAGTAATTAGAGGAATGGAATGTTAAATATGAAAGGAGAATACAAACGTGGGATTAGGCCATTTTATATATTTATGTCAGTTTCTGTTAACTTTTCTTATGTGATTCTTTACTTATTTTACCATGTGATTGAATTTGCATGAGCAGATTTGCGCTTGGAATGGAAAGGAAATCATCTTCAAGCAAACTAAATATTTGTTTCCATATAATAGTGTCTCTTAGTGCGAAATTGATGGAATGAAAAAGATTTTCATTTTTCTTGCATTTTCCCCAAAATTGAATCGAAAGGTATTCATCAGTTTGTTAATTATATTCCTAATGCAACTATATATTTTATATTAATTTTAATTGTGGAGTGAATAAAACTATTTGTAGTTTATCAACATACTATGCATATGTCAGCTTTCAAGGTCATATTTCTTCTTCTTTTTTTAACTCTTCACATTTTCTTTCTTTTTTATTTATTTTATTTTTTTTTAAAATTTTATATACTATTTTCTAACAATATTATAAAGAATTGATTGAACATTGTAATCTCATGTTTGTATAATTTCAGAAAGATAACTTCCAACTACAACAGCCACACCAGAAGATTGGATTAAACGGATACAGTTGCTATTTGGGCAAAATCGGGAAAAAAAATTCGGCTAAGTTTCAGATATATTCTTCTCAAATAATGCATGTTCAATGTAGATACTACTAGAACAAATTACTCTACCTCTACTACTTTTTTATCGTATAACAGTGGAGATTAAACAGCTCCAAGGGCAAGATGGTCATTACAACAGGTCAAAATCGAACCATATGAGTGTTTTTGCAGTTTACTATTAATTTATTAACGATTTCTTAAGTTTTTTTTTTCAGTTTTTGGATACGGACAACCATTGAAACATATAGTCCAAGGGAAATCATGCATCAGTACTCAGATTACACACACACACACACACATATATATATATATATATATATATATATATATATATATATATATATATATATATTGGCTCTGAAATTACATTAATGCAAAAAAATAGCAACATACTTATATTTATTTGTGTTCTATGTCACCCTACTTTCATTACTTTCTATTACGACATTGTATTGTTTTATTGTAGGGGCAATTTGGTATAATGGGATTTAACGAAATTTATAATTAATTTATATTAATTATATACAAATAAATAATATTCTATTATAATTTTATAATACATAATATTTAGAACTATCGTAATAACAATATATATAATAATACTAAATAATAGTAGTATTTGTTAAAAGTATTTGACAATTCATATAAGTTATAAGCTTTGTTGGGGTCCTTTGGATCACTTGAAACAAGAAGCAAAAAAGTATGTTTCTTTTATTGTATATGTGTTTGTAAGTCCCAAAATGTTTGTGTATCAATCAGATCTGTTTGATGGTGCGGAATCCCAATCACACGGATGATGTCAGATCAAAATACAAGAGAAGGAGAAGAAGATGATGAATCTTGAATGTATTGATGATATGATTGAAGTTCCTTACATAAGATTCACTTTCTCTCTCTAGAACACACCTTAAGTTTCACACACTTAAGCTCCTCTCTCTCTCTCTCTCTCTCCTATTCCGTACCTCACACCCCTCACCCTTATATATACAAGAGAAACATGAGCCGTAAATAGGGTTTACGGCCATAAACCTGTTTACGGCCGTAAACACCTCCCTGGCCGTAAACATGACTGTAAACTCATAAAATATTACAGAAAATTACAATCAACTAGAAAAGCAAAGTATAAACCAATATTTTGACCCAACAATCTCCCCATTCGTTTATAACTTTCTTTTCTTAATTGACCCAACAAGCTCCCCTTAAAAAGTAGCTGGTTTTTCTTGTTAATCTTTATTGGGAGTTTGGCTTCAGCATTAATCTTCAAATTCTTTACGACTTCAAGATGAACTTGATGAATCTTCAATGAATGGCTTCATCTTGAGCAGTTGGGATTTTCTGCAGAATTTGGCATTGAACGCACATTGGGTGAGGAGGCTTGATGTACTGATTTTTGAAAGATAGCGCTTTCAGCTTGAGAATCTTCAGAGAGAACAACAGAGATAACTAATCTTCTGTATCACTTCAGCAGGTTCAAGATAGCAGCAGACTGATTGAGGAGGCTTCAATGCAATCCGTCACCTAATCTTCAAGTGCAGCTTCACCTTGCTTCTAGGGTTGAAAGATTGAATGTCGAAAGAATAATCTTCATTTCTTGCTCCTTCGAATGAGAATTCTTCGATGATCACAGATGAAACCTTGGCTCAGAAATCTTCGACACAAACTCCATGAGTTTCATCTTCACCTGAATTCACTTTTCAAGACAAAACAAAACTAAAAGAAAAATTTAGCACACAATATTTTTGGGTTTTTCATATTTTCTGAAAAAAAATAAATAAAAATAAAACAGAAACAAAAATATTTTTGGATTTTTGATTTTCTTGAACAAGAAATAAAACAGAATATAACATTATTTTTTTGATTTTGAAGTTTTCTGATTTTTGTTTGTTTTTTTTAATAATTTTTTTAATTCTCCCCCTAAATTTGTGCATAGAGGAAAACTATGAACAAATTTAACAAAAACAAAAATATTTGGGATCAAAGTTGTGAGACAGCCTGAACTTGTTTATCAGTACCTTCACCTTCATGAATAGATCTGGTCAATTGCCGGTATTGTGGTCCACTTAAACACGAAGGATATTGACAAAATTTTCAAAATATATCATTTAGTTGACAACGACCACGGGTATTGTTGTCTACTTAAATTAAGCAGAGAGATCTACAGACAACCTCTAAATGGTTCAATTTTAGTTGCACTAGAACGTGTTCTCCACTTCCCTATATACCCTGGTTATCAAGAGCTTCCTAAGGACTCCTTACTTTAGGTGAGTAAACAATTATTAAGGAGGAAGTCAGATTTAGAGATAGATGCATATGTTGTGTCCCAGGTCGGATCTCTTTCAATCACGCAGAGGGGACAACATATGACTAACAGAGATAGAGGGATTGAGAAGTAGAATGTTGCATATGCTGTGTCCCAGGTCGGATCTTCTGATCACGCAGAGGGGACAACATATGGCTAACAGATAGAAATAGTTTCATAGATAAGAAGGTGCGTAGAAATAGAGTTGTATATGTTGCAATCCAGGTTGGATCTTCCGATCACGCAGAGGAGGCAACATATGACTGACAGATAGAAAGCAAGAAAATAATTTCTACAGACCTACTTTATCAGAACCCCCCAGTCGCCCTATCAGAACCAGAATTAAGGACACAAGTCTGTACATCAAGGAAAAGTTAAGCCACAGTTCTAGATGCGTATTAATTTAGTGTATCCCGTGGGTTCCCGTGTTTATCTCACTGCTCAATCTACCCGAGCGTCGTATGGTCAGTCCAAACAATCCTAACTAAATCCACACTGTCAAATCCTTCGTGCCTACCAGCACATTGAACACAGAGTCTAGACAATTCAGATTCAGTCCTTTACACATGTTTTAGACTGCCCGTTATCACTTTCTTGATATCACTTCCCAAATAATGCCTACTAACGAAAAAACTATAAGAAATTGTCTTTAAAACGAATCAGATTAAGATAAACTCAGGAGTATAGAGAAGAACACGCAAACTGTAATTCACCGATTGAATTTGCATCCAGAAGGTCTGAGAACAGCACACATAATCTCAGAACAGATCCGAAAATTCTTCATGTCATTAAGCACTAACCCCGTTTGTGATATCTTCATTTCCTCTTTTCCAGCAAAAGGACACATACTTTCAAACAAATGTCTGAATGTTGTACAGTTGAGAGATGTCCCCTATCATGTGCCTGGAACAGCCACTACCAACAAAACCGAAGTCTGATGATATGCCTCCATAGCTGCTCCGACACAGAGCGGGATCAGTTGGTCTTTGGAACCCAGTCCATTTTGAAACTGGGTTGACCTTTGTTATCTTTGCAAGGAACATTCTCCCACGAAATGTCCTGTTTATCACAAACAGAAGATGTAGAAATATTAGAGTCATTAGGTGATTTGGGAGATTGAGCCTTTGGAACCCATTTGTAGTTGGGTTTAGCACATTTCTTTTTCGATCTGATGGGTGGATCAGTACTTGCTTTTGATCTTGATGTCGGCCTTTAAGATGACTTTGATTTTGGCTTCACGGGAGCATCTCTTGGATTTGGCTTCTTGGTCGGCATTCCCTTCTTGCCCTTGGGATTCGGATTCTTGGCCTTGTGGGTTTGATTCTTGGCCTTCTGCGCGTTCCAGTCACCATTGTCTGAACGTGACCTTGAGAGGTTTCTTTTGGAGTATCTCCCTCTTGGCGCGTTTTGCCAGCCTTGTGCATAGTAGGGAACATATGCGCGATTAGGACAATTTCTGGCAATGTGTCCAGGTGTTCCACAGTGAAAACATGTCTTTTTCTTCACTGTGAAGTTGTTTCTTCCTGCCCCTGGTGGCGTATCCTTGCCTTGTCTCTTATTTTTCCTACAAGCACAATGTGACATCCCCAATTTCACGGCCAGAAAAGACCGATTTAATTTATGCTTTTAAAATAATTTCAGAGTAATCATTTGATTAAAAGTGTTGCAGAATTTGTTCCCAGATAAACATGATAACTATGTTATCAAATCATTTCCGAAGAAATGTATTTTATTTCACCTAAACCATTGGGATGTCATTGTCAATACAAAAACATAAGCATAAACAAAACTTTACATTCATTTACACTAGTGATCTACTTCTCTTTTAATCTCTCAGTGTAAAGCAACTTCGTATCGATACCTGTGATACAAATAAACTGAGTGGGTCAGGCTTGGGAGCCTGGTGAGCATATAGGGTTTTCAACCCACAATAAATAATAAACTTATTAAGTTCTCAGTCAATAATAAATTTATTAATTTCATCAACCAAAAATAACCCTAATTACCCATTCTCATTATCCTCACTTTACGTCCCTAAAACAACTATCACAAGGGACCTAGCCTAAGGATTATCACTAGGGGTGACAACATTGCTTTGGGGGTTCCTCAGCAAGTTATGTCAAATAAAACAAACATCGGGTGACAACATTGCTTTCCCTCAGCAAGTTATGTCAAACAAGACATCCTAACATAAAACAACCTATAAAGTGACAACATTGCTTCCCTCTGCAATTTATGTCAAATAAGACATGAAGTCACATCGTTACCATGTGCTAAGCCCATAGCTCTTATTTATCGACAGTATTTCCCAAGGGAGTCCCCCCCCCCCCCCCGCAATACATGTCAGTGGGTTTTCCATATGCTAAGTCCATAGCTCTTATTCATCGACGGTATTTCCCACGGGTGTTCCCCACCCCCCCCCCCCCCCCCGCAATACATGTCAATGGGTTTTCCATACAGCTGATGAACATACTAAGGGGTTTCCCCAGCCACACATGCACTAAAGGCAATCATGAGGGGAATAGAGTACAACGAATGAACACTCAAGTTCATTAACACCTACAGGTTGCGGGCCTGCTAATGTTTCCCACTGGAGTGTCTAGAACAGTCCATGGTTGTCATCCCTACTCTGCTGAATGACGGGGGTTAACGTTTGGGTAAGGGCTTTTCTCATATTGCACCACTCACGCCAACGTTTGGGTAAAAGCTTTTCCCATATTTCACCACTCACTCTCAACTCATGATCTATATCACTGATCATCTCATCTATCCAACTCACCTTTCATCACACACCCACTATTTAACTCATGATCTATATCACTAACTCATGAAGCTAGTCTGATCACTTCATAAAAGAACAAAGACTCCAAAGCTCTTCCAAATAAAAGTATAGGGAAAATACTGATAAAGTACCCCCGTACGCTCCCATACCCCGACACGTAATAGTGTCAAAAGGAAGAACTAATGGATGAACACATAGTTCAAAAACACCTAATGAACATATAGTTCAAGAACACTTTATGAACATATAGTTCAAACATACGTACCGATTACAAGTCTACTAACGTTCCACTGGACTATCTAAAATAGTCTGTGGTCGTTGTCTATACTCTTCTAGATGACTAGATCATCTTAAACATCGATACCTCTCATCACTTTTATTTCATCACACATCATCTAATTCACCTACCCATGTTTTACCCAACATATTTGTAGATAAAAATATATATACAGTTTAAAACTTGTATAAAACATCTATTCAACAGTCACCTTAATTAAATAATCAATATAATTACACATAGCACGTATTTTAAAGAAAATACTTCATATATATGTGTAAGGTGAAAGTAACTACACACTTACCTGATTTAATGAAAATCGGGCAGCAATTCGTTTCCTAAAACGATCGTTTCTAATAAAACCGAGAGTTTTATTGAGAAACCGGGCTCTGCGAGGGTCGGGCTTTGAAACCGAAAAAATAAATTTCCCGGGCTTCTCGGGCACTCCGGGACGTGTTCCTGGCGTTGGAAATGATCTCGGGGCATCGGGGGAGGTCAAAATAACCAAAATATTGAAAAAGGGGTAAAAATGGGCAATTTCCCAAAATTACCCGGGAAGGCTCGCATGCCTTCTATTTATAGGCTGCGAGGTCCGAAGTCGGTTGATCAGAAGGGCGAGTCAGCGAGGCAGGTGGCAGCAGCAGCGAAGCCCACGTACTCGGATCCGGAGGAAGACACGCGTCGGACACGGGGAGCCCTCGGATTGGACCTGCGAAGCGAGGCGCGTCGGACGCGCATTGGACCGGTGCTCGGACGAATCAGAAGGCGACGCGTCCTCGGCTGAGTCGACGGCTCGGACACGTGGCTCGCATGACTCACCGATTTCGGACACGTGGCACGCTACTAGCGAAGGTGACGTGGCATTTCCGGGTGAAGCTTATCCATGCGAAATTTCTCGAATTTTGTGCCAAAATCTTCTAAAATTCATAACTTTCGCATACGAGCTCCGTTTTTGACGTTCTTTATATGCACGCGTAGTTAAAATTACGCTCTACAACTTTCGTTTAGACTTCGTCGGCTAATTTTGAATTTAATTTTTAAATTATTATTTTTAACAGACCGGGACATGAAATCCATTAAAAATTCATAACTTCTTCATCCGACGTCCGTTTTCGTCAGACTTTTTACCGTTGTGCTACTAATGACGAGACCTTCGATTCTTGTTTAGGTCGTGTCGGCTGAAAATCTCTCGATCTAAAATTCGAGTTTTTAGCTGTCTACTGCTAAGCTGAAACTTCGAAAAATCATAACTTCCTCATACGAAGTCAGATTTGGGCGTTCTTTTTATAACTACTCTCGGTTTAACGAACACTACGAGTTTCGTTTAGATCACTAAGGCCAAAAAGTAGTTTATCAAAAACTCACTTTTTACGACATTCGGCACCGTGCCGGTTTATCGTGAAACTTCGACAGGTCATAACTTCTTCGTTATAACTCGGATTTCGGTATTCTTTATATATCCGTAATCCTTGTCACGCCCACTACAAGTTTCTTATCAGATATCGGCTTTATCTAAAATTTAATTTTTGACGCTCATTTTTATTCTTAATTAATTAAACCCTAATAATTAAGCATAAAACACATAATTCACATAATATTCACATAATTCCTTTTCATTTCTTCTAAATGAGTTACAAAGGTTAACCTAGACCATTATGTCAATATTAATGCCTAGCCTAGAAACACGGGCGTTACACACAATTATAGTAGGCACTCTGTTTCACTAGAATTGGTGGCTTGTATTTCTCAATAGCAGGTTGATCAGAAGCAGCTGAGTTCGAAGCAACAGATTCAGAGCTCAAGGAGATGTTGGTTTGTTCAATGGTTTTCTCCTTGTTCTCATCTTCTGCTACTTTACTATCAGACACACTCTCTTCAGCTGCTTGCTTGGATTGGCTTAGTGGTTGATCTGCATAGGAGGTAGAAGCATTAGTATTTTCTACCTGAATACCTCCTGACACAAATCCAGCTGGTTTGCCATATTGAAGATGTGCCTCCCTGTCAATTTCTTCCCGTGTCATAGGGATGGATGTGTAGTTATGATTGAAAGGTGGAGGAACACTATCATACCCTAGACCTTTTTGCTGGTTATTTTTAAATTGCAGACAATGATCTATCATGTTTGCAACTACTTCGCTTGACACATCAAATTTTTTAAAATCAAAATCTGCAATTTCAAATTTGTTTTTTAATGTGTCATGCTCAGCAGTTAATTCAGCAAGTTGTCTCTTAACATAGTCATAATTTTCACATTTGTTGCTATAGTCTTCCTGAAGCCTCCTAAAGTCTTTGGTTTTTGCTTCTAATTCAGCCTTTAGGGGTTTCTGTCCTTTCCTGAGTTGATATCCTTCGTATTTTAGGTCCTCGACTTCCCTTTTTAGCAAATCATTATGTTCACGAAGAAGTTTAATCGTAGCTTCACATGATTGAGAGCATGAAACTTCATTGACCGGGATGTTTGCGGAACTCATTGTTTTTCCACACTTCAAAGCATCAAGTTCTTCAATTACAGCAACAATACTAAGACGATTGAGATCTTTTGTCTTTTTGATTACAACCACGTTCATATCCCACGACTTTGGAAGTGCATTCAGTAGCTTTTTATTTATCTCGGACTTAGTCAAGAAGATCCCAGCTATATTCATCTCAGTAGTGAGTGTGGTGAATCGCTGCAGCTGAGCTTCCAGGGTTTCTCCAGGGATGTAGTTGAACATGTTGAATTTTTGTCGTAGCATATCCTGACGACTTTCTTTCATGTCTTCATTTCCCTCGTAAACCTCAAAAGCCATTAAAAGCACAACTAGAAGCCAAAATCAAACTTAAAAGTCAAACTTAAAAAATCAAACCGAAAAGCTAAATTTGAAAATTTGAAGGTCGAACGAGAAAGCCAAGTCTAAAGTCAAAGGTCAAACTTGAAAGTCAAAATTCATTTTTTTTTTATTGAAAATGGAATTTTAAAATAAAAGATTTTGAATTTTTAGGCTGAAAGTGTCAATTTTGCGAAACTGGATTCGAAAAGGAATGGTTATGAATTAAAATCGAAAGGTTTGAAGCAAGGTGTTGCCTAGCCCAACTGGTAAGACACGTGCTTGTTGATTCAAGAGACCCGGGTTCAAATCCAGGCACCTCCAAAACTCATTTCCCTTTTTTAAAGTGTGCGATGCGAGGATGCTGGGATGCGAGGACGAGGTTGCGAAGCGAGGATCGGACCGTAAACTCCGAGTCGAATACGTGCGAGCCGTAAACTCCGAGGGCCGTAATCTCGGACCATAAACGTCCGAAGCGATGATGGCCGCAAACTGCTGACCGGAAACCGAAGACCGTAAACTGAGGCCGTAAACTCTGACTCCGGCCGTAAACTCCTCGGAAACCCTAGCTGCTGGCCGTACACGCCGCCACCCCCTCGCTGGTTACGACCAAAAACATCGTTTTTTCGACTTTGAAGCTCCAAAACTCGATCAAAAACTCGTTTTTATCAAAAACGCGAAGAACAAACCCCCCTTAATTTTCAGATATCTATCCAAAAACGCAAGAATCTTTCAAAAATAAGATCAAATATGCTCCAGATCTGACAAAATTGACTGATACAATCCAAGCTCTGATACCAATTGTAAGTCCCCAAAATGCTTGTGTATCAATCAGATCCGTTTGATGGTGCGGAATCCCAATCAAACGGATGATGTCAGATCAAAATAGAAGAGAAGGAGAAGAAGAAGATGATGAATCTTGAATGTATTGATGATATGATTGAAGTTCCTTACACAAGATTCACTTTCTCTCTCTAGAACACACCTTAAGTTTCACACACTTAAGCTCCCCTCTCTCTCTCTCTCTCTCCTATTCCGTACCTCACACCCCTCACCCCTATATATACAAGAGAAACATGGGCCGTAAATAGGGTTTACGGCCGTAAACACCTCCCTGGCCGTAAACCTGACCGTAAACTCATAAAATATTACAGAAAATTACAATCAACTAGAAAAGCAAAGTATAAACCAATATTTTGACCCATCAGTGTTTTTATTTTACGATTTATATTTTATGGAAGTGTGTTTGATGTGTTTGTGGTTGTGATGCAGGGCTGATTTTAAAGGAGCCAGTATGAGTCGACAGAAGTCTGGGAGTGGAAGAGCTGTTGAAGCTTCTCTTTCATCATCTCCTTCATTGAAAGGGAAAAGAGATGTGATGGCTAAACATTCAGGTACACTTCCTTCACTTAAAGGAATAGCAATTAGCTTTGTATATATCATCCTCCTTACAATTCTTCTTTCTATAGCATTAATTCTTTACTTGTGTTTTCGGTTTTTGCAGAGGCAATGGACTTCAGAGATTGGTGCAAAAATGAATGTGTCAAGCTTCTTCGATCCAAAGGCCTCCTGTATGTCGAATATGTCTTCATTAATATGGATACGAGGTTTGTGGGCTGTTGGCTAATGTTTTGACTTTTATCAGATGAGGTTTTTGCTGACAAGAGAAAAAAAAACGAACACAGCGCCAACGGCGCGCATGATTCCCCTCTAGTTTACATAGAACTCTTAAAATTTGAAATATTCTTCATGCTTTATATATATATATATATATATATATATATATATATATATATATATATATATATTATCATTTAACCAGCTATGCTACAATTTGTACCAACTTATATTTCTAAGTGCTAACATTATTAATTAATATATGAGATTTCTCTTTTTGTTCCTTTAGCAACGATGGATTTTTAAACCCAAAGGCTCACTAATGAGGTTTCAGTGTTAAATTTGAGAATATTTTTTTATGAACTTATTTGTAATTTTCAATGTTATAGGAAATATAATATTATTTGTTTCATCAAGTTATTATTATTATTATTATTATTATTATTATTATTATTATTATTATTACATGAAAAGTATTTTTTAACACATAATCTTTATTAGAATATTAACAAGAAGTTAGAAATAGGGATGATAGTGAGTCCAAACCCGGACCGGTAGATTTGGACCCAGACCGGTATATAAGAAACGTTTCCGGTTCGGTTCCGGGTAAGTGGGTCTAGAACCGGAAAACCTGGAAACATCAAAGTTGGTCGGATGGAAACCGGATAAAATAGGTCTAGAACCGGAAAACCCGAGAAAATCGGAATTTTTTGGTAATTACTTAGTGGTTAAACTTTGAAAATTTTCAACTTTGATATCCTAACTTTGGGGGACTGTAAGTCATTGAATATTAAACCAAAAATGACAAACTTATAGTCTAAAATCATGTACAAACTCTAAACTACACGTTGCAAAAAACCTCAAGATAATTCAACTTCAAACGAATTAGATATGAATGTTTTAAAATTTCACAAAATACAAAAATAAAGCTGAAAAACAGAAAATTCGCAGCTTTGATATCCCGACTTTGAGAGACTATAAATCAACGAATATGAAACCAAAAATGACAAAATTAAAGTCTAAAATCATGTATAAACTCTATACTACACTTTGGAAAAAACTGCATGTTAGTCCGACTTCAAACGAATTAGATATGCATGTTTTAAAACTATCACATAATACAAAAAAAACTGAAAAACATAAAATTTCCAGCTTTGATATCCCGACTTTGAGAGGCTGTAAGTCAATGAATATAAACCCAAAAATGACAAAATTATAGTCTAAAATCATGTACAAACTATAAACTACACTCTGGAAAAAAAAATCTCATACCACTTTGACTTCAAACGAATGATATATGTATGTTTTAAACTTTTCATACAAATCGGTTTCGGCCCCTAAAACCAGTTCCGGTTCTTAAACCCGGTTTACCCGGACCCGAAGGACCCAAAACCCGAATTACCCAGAACCCGGATATAGTCATTCTTTCAACCCAGGACCCGGACCGGTTTTACATGTTCCGTATCTAACGGTTCCGGTTCCGATCCGATTCTGATTCCGGTCCGTTTTTCTGGTTCTAAATCTCATCCTAATCGTTGCCTTGAGTATAATTTCTTAATATAATAGCATATATATTAAAAATATCGAATTGACTATGTCCATTTAATTAAGACATTTGTGGATTACTATTTTATCTGATAAGAATTAAATATTTGATATAGAATGGTTTAATAAACGTAATCGGTTATTAAAAATATTCTAAAATAATATATTCAAGAGTTAATTAAATTGTGTAAACAATAAAATAGTAAAATATATCGATTCTGCTTTACGTAATAGCGATCGGCAAAAAGATGCTTTTAAATCGGATATTAATACATATGGGCCCTCACAAAAATTATAGTATTTTTTATGATTATTTTTTATATATAGCTCTTTACTATTCGTATAATTTTGTATGTTTTTAACTAGGGATGAGATTTAGAACCGGAAAACCGGACTGGAACCGGAACCGTTAGAACCGGAACATGTAAAACCGGTCAAGGTCCCGAGTTTAAAGAATGGTTCTATCTGGGTTCCGAATAATCTGGGTTTCGGGTCCTTCGGGTCCGGGTAAACCGGGTTTAAGAACCGAAACCGGTTTTAGGGGCCGGAACCGATTTTTATGAAAAGTTTAAAACATGCATATCTCATTCGTTTGAAGTCAAATTGGCATGATGTTTTTTTTTCCAGAGTGTAGCTTATAGTTTGTACATGATTTTATATTATAATTTTGTCATTTTTGGGTTTATATTCATTGACTTACAGTCTCTCAAAGTCGGGATATCAAAGTTGTAAATTTTATGTTTTTCAACTTTTTTTTGTATTATGTGATAGTTTTAAAACATGCATATCTAATTCGTTTGAAGTCGGACTAACATGCGTTTTTTTTCCAAAGTGTAGTATAAAGTTTGTACATGATTTTAGACTTTAATTTTGTCATTTTTGGTTTCATATTCGTTGATTTATAGTCTCTCAAAGTCGGGATATCAAAGTTGCGAATTTTCTGTTTTTCAGCTTTATTTTTGTATTTTGTGAAATTTTAAAACATGCATATTTAATTCGTTTGAAGTCGAATTATCTGTAGGTTTTTTGCAACGTGTAGTTTAGAGTTTGTACATGATTTTAGACTATACGTTTGTCATTTTTGGTTTAATATTCAATGACTTCAGTCCCCCAAAGTTAGGATATCAAAGTTGAAAATTTTCAAAGTTTAACCACTAAGTAATTAACTAATTACCAAAAAATTCTGATTTTTCTGCGTTTTCTTGTTCTAGACCCACTTTATCCGGTTCCATCCGACCCACTTTGATGTTTCTGGGTTTTCCGGGTCTAGACCCACTTTACCCGCTACCTTACCCGGAACTGAACCGAAACCGTTTCTTATATACCGGTTCGGTTTTCGGCTTTACAAAATCTCGTTAATTGGTTTCCGGGATTTCCGGGTCCGGGTGTACTGGTCCGGGTTTGGACTCACTCTAATCCCTAGCAACGATGGTATAACAATTTGTGAATTACAAATTTAACATTTTATTGAATTTCGATCTAATATTACAAAATCGCATTCTCTAATTGCACATAGATGCTTACAATCTAACCTTCATCAAGATCTTTAACAGTAGGTAATAATTTTTTTTATAAAATCAAAAGCAACATTATCAATGATTATTATAATAATACAACATATACAGTAATAGTCTTGAGATTTAATGATCTCAAAAGTGGTTAAGAATTGAGGGCCGGTGGTATAAACTACAAAGAGATAGAAGCAATTTAATTAGTGGACTCACATATGAATTGAAATGATTTCAGTGACATCACTAAAAGCTTCATTCATGTGTCTTGGTGGGATATAACTGTGGTCGATCAGTACAATAGATCTCCTGCAACCACAAATTTAAGTTTATTATTATCACAAAAAAAACATTTTAATTATTAATGGATTGTAATCATCAAATCTTTAGCTATATTATAATGTGGGCCATTTTATATTATATCCTAATATAATACCTTAATAGTCCATGAATTGGATTGCTATTCTCGTTTTGTTGATACAACAAAAAGAAAAAGTCGCTACCTGTAAATCAAATAGTACAAAAGAAAATAAAATTATCATATGATAATTAGAATTAGTATTTAGTATATAATAATATTAATTTATAATCCTCACCAAACATAAAGTTATGAATATCATGCATACACGTCATCTCTTCCTACGGAAATTATAGTTCAAGAAAATGGTTAAGAATAAGTAGCTAGTACTTTAATTCCCCATAAGCATCTAGCCTTAACTAGCTTATATAAACATAATAATTAATACACGAAATTAAATTCATTAGTTAATTTCCCTTTTGAAATGTTAATGAAATCATACACATCAATTTATTCTTGATGAAGTTTTAACCATAATCTACCCTTTTCTCGTCAATTTTATAAACAAATTTGTGATATTAAATATTGGTTTATATGATTTATCGCTTCTAATTTTCATTAAATGACGTTTTAAAACTTTAATTAGAAGACTTGCATGATAATTAATAAACTTTTTGGACAAAAGAAACATAACTGTTATATCACATCATGTTTTATGATCATATATATTATACCATAGGCATGCCAACCCTAAAGATAAGACTATCTCTCACACATAAAGCATATGCCAACCCTACATATCATATAATGTTCGTATATGGCTTACAAGTTACAACTTACAACGTATTAATTGGTTCGTTTATTGTAAATAATTTATTGACATTTTAATTACTTTATTCTATATTTTATTTCGTATTTTTTTATGGTTTTAATATACCTGGCGTTATATTGAAAATTGTACAGTTAAATAGAAGTCTAAATGCCACATGGGTTATATGTGTAAAAATCTAAAGGGCGTGTTAAAGACAATAAAGTTAATGATCATAACTCAAACTGTAACATAATATTATTAGATATATAATAATTAAAGTAAGGTGGAAACTTTAAGTCTTTTTAACTGCACGAGTGTGAGTGACCGATATATAAAAAATATAAAATAAAAAGCTGCGGTAGCAAAAACAAGAGATGCAAAAGTGGCTTCTAAAATGGGTTTTTTTGATTTTGTTCTAAATATATAATCTAATCTTTCTGACTCAAATCTAGCATCATCTGCATGCTTTCTAGATGATTTATATATCAGATATCAAATAAAGAATTGGTTCTATTTCCAGAAAAAGAAAACATCTATTCCTTTGAAAATTATATCGCCATTATCGCTTTAAGAAACTATATACATCTAAGTTCATGACAAGTGCACCCTATTGGGAGAGAAGTCGTTAAAATAATTAAAGCGAAATTAATCACGTTATGTTTGATGATTATAATTTATATTTAACTATTGTTAATTAGTACTTTAGTAGATCGAGAAATGTTTATATGATGCTAATTAGTACAATGGGTGGGTGTCATCGTATTCTGAGAGGTGAAAATGAAGGGTTCCAAGTAGGGACAAAAATTAAAATTGTTATGGAGGTGTTGAACACGTTCATATATATAAAGATTTTGGATAGAAGAGATCTGATAATGTGGCCTAATACATACATGATATAATGTATAATCATTACAAATCAAGTTTCCTAGGACCACAGATGGACCATATATGTTGGCTTTGTAATACCACTTGTGTACAACTAGTCGACTATATATAAGGACCATTCATTTTGGCTTGTTTGTAAAGTGCATCTACCATAACTACTATCTTCTACAACATATCTTTATGGTATAGGTGTGAACTGCTTAAGAGTAAGATTCTATGTGCAATCGATTCCTAATGATGTCCCACTAGCCACACATATACACTTCATCTTAAATTTTCTTTATGGTATAGGTGTGAACTGCTTAAGAGTAAGATTCCGTGTGCAATCGATTCCTAATGATGTCCCACTAGCCACATATATGTATACACTTCATCTTAAATTAGCATTATATTCTCATGTTAAACTCGAAACTTACAAAAGGACAATGGGACAAATTAAAGGAATACCAAAGAGGCTATGGATAGTAAAATACAAGTGTCAACATATAACAACATGTAGGATGTTGTACCAATTTTTGATAATTGAAAGGTTTAATGTTTGGATGTCGTTGGATTTACAAGATAAAAGAAAAGTTGATGGCTTAGTGGAATGTTATAAAGCGAGGTTGGTAACAGAATGTTTTAATCAACAATGAGTGCATTTTCTTGATAGGTTGTATATATCTTATTGCTATATTTGTTATTGTGAAACTGTTAGCCATTAAATCATAATTATTTGGGGGTCTTGCTACGGTTAGACATTATTAATGTATTCTTAATTAAATAGTTATCTTGATGAGGAAGTACGTATACATGGAACTACCAAATGGTTATATATTGGCATCATAGATTAGAATTAATGTTAACCAATCTAGAATAAACATGGTAAGATTATGAGGTTGCAGAAATGAGGATGATGCGGTGGAGATGTGGTAGAACATAATTGGATATGATACAAAGTATGTAAATCAGAAATCCATTGGGAGTGACGTAGATCGCCAAGAAATTAAGCAAAGGAAGTTGTGGTGGTTTATACATGTCATGCAATTAGGATTAATGTGAAGAGAGTCATCATCAATGATGTAAAGGGAAGATAACGCCAGGAAGAAACTATGAAGATAATGTAAGGTTAGACTTGAAGCAGCCGACTCTTACCAATGATATGACCTTGGTTATGAGAGTGTGAAAACTTAAAATTAGAGTTATAGAATCATATATGAGTAAACTAGGTACTAGGTTCCTTTCCATAATTTGTGACTTTTTTAGTATTTTTTTTGTCTTACTCTTTTCCCATCCTTAATTTCAGCTTTTATCGATAATATCTACTTCCTCCTATACTGGTAGCTTCTATTACACGTACAATATTTAGTTGTTTAATCTTGTCCCTTCTTTACTTTCAACTTTATTATCTGTGTATATATTTTTTCCTTTAGTCATACTACGGATGATACTCTATCATGTGCTGGAATTTTTATATATGAAGTAGAGGTTCAATTGTTTACATCTGACCTTCCTCTTACGCTAATTATAAAACTCGAGTGTTATTGTTATTGTTACCAACCTCAAGAGTTAACTTTTTCATATTTCCATTAATTAATTAGCTAAATGAGAAATTACGTGAGATAGGTTACAAAACAACTGTATGCCATGTTATCTTGTTTTCTTTTGGTAGCTGGCTTTATACAATCTAAAATCTTCGTTTTATAAAGGTTCTTGATCGTTATATGTTTCACTACTTGTTAATATCAATGATATAGTGCTAATAGGGCATCTAGTAGTGAGATTTATACAGTCTAGACAAGGATCAATGAACATTTCAAGCTAAAAAACTATGAGCAAGTTAATTAACAGTTCTTGTGTCACAAAGCTTTTAGGTCTAAAATAAGATATTTCTTTCTTAAAGATATTATTATTCTTTTGAGATTCTTATAGATGTTACATAATTAGTTGCTAAATTAGTTCAATATCCCATGAATCCTAAAGTCAAGTGGCCCAAAGCATGATACACAATAACTTTTATTTGATCAATCTCATAATTATGTACATGGTTGTATGTTTACGATCTAAAATATTGTCTTTTCACAATTTCTTTGTTTATGATCTAAAATATCTCCCATCTATGATTATGCAATTAAGAACACTACGATGACCAAGTTTATGTTATGCCACGAGACACTAATCTTGCTTAACTACCCACATGTTTCAAGGGTTTCCAGGAAAACTTAATTATATAGGTTAAAGTCATATATGGTAGCCAACTATGTCTCAGGTAGATAATTGATCACTATCGTTAGAATTGTACACTCTAGCTCATTAAAGGAGTAAGGGCATATAGAAGAGTGGTAAAAAAGTTACTTCAATTAGAAATGTTGACTTTAAAGAGATAATGCCGATTAAAAATGTAAGAATCGAATAAGTATATTTGAATCGGTACAGAGCTAGGGTGTACAGTTAAAGTTAGGGGTGGAATTGGAAGGTACCAATTCATATTTTCACTAAACCGTGTACCGCACCAATTATACTTGGTGCAAAAAAAAATTTACCACTACCATACAAAGTATAGTTGGAACCAGCTTGTTTCGCTACCAATAAGTTTGGTTGGTACATGTTGGTAATTGTATATATCAACATGTATGGGAGTTTTGTGAATGACGATTTTCGTGTTCTTGAGCATTGTGAAACTTCAATTGGAGAGGGGGGGGGGGGGTGAGTGAATAAGAGTTTTGTAATGGTTAAGATTGAGAAATCAATCCAAAATGATTTTATTAATTTCTATCATGAGTTTATAAGTTAAAATGGTGGAGGAATATTGGGCATGCCAATATAAGTTTAAAACTTTAAACTTTACTAATTCAGTAAATGCTAATATCAAAGTTTTTTTTTTTGAAAAGCTAATATCAAAGTTTGTAAATCATAAGCACCAAACATACTAAAATTATATATATATATATATATATATATATATATATATATATATATATATATATATATATATATTTATTAAATTGGTTGGTATATATATGGTACTACTGTGCTATTGAAAACTATGTACCACTACCGTACCATGATTTTGCAATTGTCATGGTACTACCAACCAAAACATATTGGTTACCGATATTCTTATTTGGTTGGTAACATGTTGATTGGTTTTCCGTGGTATATATATTTGTCAGCCCTAATTAAAGTGACTCATAAGTAGGAAGAAAGAGAGGAGTATATTTAATTTTTCTAACACTAACTATATAAACAAAGATTAATTAAATATCCTCCTATTTATTTTTCCTACCATCTTCCTACCAATTTTAGATGATGACAATTGTAATATAAAAATTATTAATTTTATTAAATATTAAAATGTAATAATCTTAAGTGTGTAGGAAGGGGAAAATAAGTAGAAGGATATTTTATTTCTCATAAACATAATCTTAATCATGTAAAAAACAGAAACAATGTAACAACTTCGAATTAAAGTGCAAGTTAATGAAGGACGTATATACCTATACATCATTGGTTGCGCATTCTGGGAGGCACAATATCACCAAGTAATCCTTGATCTACATGAGAATCTTGAGAGGATGATTGAGGTATATTGTGATCTCTTGATTCATTTGATAGTACTAATTGTGGTCTTGATTGTGAGGCACGAACAACATCCACTAGATTAGGGAAATGTGGTCTAGAATAGTTGACTGGCTGCAAGGCTGAAGAAGGGGCTAATTGTCTTGCATATACAGTTTCATGATGAGTCATTAGTCCTCTTGGAAACCCAACAGTGTGGTGACAGTGTTGGCCTTCATATGTAGTGATTACAATTGTAGGGTCATCAGATGAACGCTCAACTCTTTTCTTCACTGTGCATTTGCTGTTTGTGCAACGGTAATAGCTCCTTCAAAAACGTAATTTTGACTACATTTAGAATAAACATATGGAGAAAGAAATATATATATATATATATATATATATATATATATATATATATATATATATATATATATATATAATATATATATATACTTTTGGGGCAATGACATTTAATGATTTTTTACGCATTTGTGTTTGTTTATATGGTATAGCTCTTTTCTTTCTTTTATGCATTTTTTTATATGATATTAATGTCTATATGTGTTTTGTAAGAAAAAAATATGAAAACAACCTTGGATATGGGCTATTTTTAACAGCTTTCTGCCCATATTTTCTCCATCTGTAACCATCTTCAAGATGATCAATTTCACTCTTGGTCATGAATGCAAAACGTGGCTGACGGATTTTTTTGGGTCCCTTCTTTTTAACCTTACTCCTGAAAATCATTGCAACCAACTTTTATCAGTAAGTAGATATATAGTGAACTAAAACCACAAAAAAAAAAGCTGAATAAAACAGGTAATTCAATGAACTTTTATAAAACCGCACATCATGTTATAAATATAGCTTATTTAACAAATAAACGATCCAAAATCCACGGAATTATTCAAGCTATATAACATATAATGGGCAAACAAAAGAAATCCGAGGACGTCATTGCAGAAAAGTCTACAGCTGAAAACATGGAGGGCATTTTTGGCATTTGCAATTGAAATTAAGGGGTTGAAAAATGCAACAATATTTACCAACTACTATTTCATTAACCTCATGAACTGTCGGTAGGAGAATATTGCAATTACAGTATTAAATCAACACCAGATAATATACCTCCTTAGATGTAATGGTCTATAACACCTTCCTAGCTACTATATATAGGGGTAGTATCATGCCATACACAAATCAAATTAATAGGTTTTGCATGTGGAGAGAACGCATTCAAAGGCCATTTTCAAAATTATGTACGCATTTATTACAACTTAATTAATATTAATAACTCTATGTTCTTTTACTATTAATTAGACTCGATATAACAAATTATTCATTTTTTGAATAAATAATGTCCTGAATTTACACTCGTGCAAGACAGCATAGAGATATATTACTTTTAATTTTTTTTTCCCAAAACAACAAAAGAAAAGGTTATAATGAAGAAACACTGAAACGTATGATAAATCGGATCTATGATTGATTTTTTTTTAAAGAAAAATGAACGTATGTAGCACATCAACAAGGTGATGTTTCTTTCAAAACGGTTACTCATTTATTAGGGGCCACAATTGCAAAATTGGTCGATGTTATGAAACATCGACAACAAATACAATACAACTTTGATTAGATGCATTATGTTTAGTAGCTTTTGTGCAATTTTTACGGAGCCACATGTGCAATATCTAAAAGCAAAATTCACTGTCTAACGATTTTCATGTTCCTGAAATACAGACAATAATAGATTACTTATTTTAGAAAAAGCTGCATATATTATATATATAACCTTACCTTATGATGTATAATAATTAATATTCACCATATATTAGTCATTAGCTATAATAAGATGATATATAAAACGTTATACTAAACTGCCGTCATTTTATGTAAAATAGGAGACAAAAACAGCCAGCCACCGCCGTAGCGTCGGGGTTGATGCTTTCTAACTAAGGGTGTTCAAAAATAGCCCTTAGTATCTCATATAATTCACAGAAATGCCATTGCAACTTGCGCGAGCAGCTTTTCGTAGCAACTTGGTTCTCTCTAGAAGGAAAATACGAGGAAAGCGTTTCACAAAATATAAATATATGATTAAAAATTATTAAAATATATTATTATTTTTCCGGAAAAATCATACTTCAACTTTTTCATGAAAAACAAACACTAAAAACGATTTTTTGCACTGTGAAACGAAATCCTCGTGAATTTTGATTGTTGAATTTGAGAAAAAAATTAAGCATTGTGAATTACGCTATGAGAAATGAGAATCCGAGTTGGTTAATCACGGATTTAGAAACACGTGAGAAGAAGGTAAGACTGTTGTCGTTTCTGATGTTACTACTACTACTACCAACTCACGCTCTCTCTGACGATGGAGGTTTACCACCGGAGGCGGCGCCACCTGAAGCCGTGGAAGTCTCAACTCGATCCTCCGACGAACTCGACGAAACCATCGGAGTCGACATCGATACATCCCCTGCAGCCTGATCATCCACAGATCCAGTACGCACTTGATCACTACCAACAACGCCTCCTACACCTACCTCCGGCAACGACACGTCTGAATCGATCCGATCAAACGCCGCCGGCGGTGGCTGAAAGCTCCATCCAAACTCACTCAGTACACTATTTTCTCTAACATCACTCCCGAAAAAGCTGTAATCGCCTTGGAACGTCCACGTAGGATCGGAGGAGAATCCGCCGGAGATTTGATCAACCTTATCCTTATCATCCATATACCAAATTCACGTCCAGATGAGAGCGAAATCGATCGCGTTTATCGAGCGGGAGAGAAAAAAAAAATCTGTCTAGGGTTTAGGCTTTAAGAGAAAGAGAGATAGAAAGTGTGTGTGTGTTGTGTGAGAGAGAGAGAGAAGAACGCGTAAATTCTGTTGAGGTTTTTTTTTTGTCGACGATTGATTGGGTATATATATATATATATATATATATATATATATATATATATATATATATATATTCGATTAAATCCCCGTGTTTTTGAATTTAATTACTTTTTAAAATTTTGCTTGAAATGAAAGGTTTGGCGAAGAAGAAACAGGTTAACGATAATATTAAAAAATCGGCGTCAACTTTTAAATAGTACGGAGAAGAAGCGAAGAGAAGGATGAAATGTGGGTCGTTAGTTAATTAATTACCACGCGCGAAGATTTTGAATGGTGTATACTCGCGATGTTTATGGGACACACGTAAAATTAAATCAAGATCGGTTCGTATTAACCACTTTTGTTTAGTTTATGAACACTTGACTGGTGATTAGAGTTTGATTTGATTTATGATTTTTAATATCCAACCTAACCTAGCTAAAATAAAATACATATTTGTCGGTAATCTTAAGATTAAGACTAATCAATTAAATAACTAAAACTTACGGGATATATTATAAAACAATTATATTTCACATATTTATTGGAAAATAAGCTTCAACAAACGTTTTTGTTATACATGACAACAAAAAAAAAATTTAATTAAATCAAGAATAAAATGTTAGGGATAACACATGTATAATGTCAGGAAAATTTGCATTACATCAGAATATTTGAAGGGTAGTAGTCTATGCCCCTCAAAACAAGCCAATGAGATATAAAAGTTCATTTTTTTTTTTTTTTTTTTTTTTTTTTTTTGTAATTAAAGAGAGTTTTAAGCATGTTCATTGACAATGGTAGTTCAAACAATATTTTGTTGATGACCATGTTGGGAGAGAGAATGTGTGTGTATTTGTGTGTGTAAAAAACATATATAACAATGCACTTTTGTTTTTGTCACATTTATACACATCACATACCCTAAAGTCGCACAACCATAAACACATAGACAATTATTTTGTACTTTGGGAATCCAATTAACTATAAGGCCGGAGCATGCCTGCAAGAAGTTTTCCATACTTTTTGTGTGCTACGTCATTTTTTCTTTTACTTTTTTTCCCTCATAAAAAGCCAAAGTGTGTACGGAAAGCTTCTTCATTCTTTTTAAAAATAATAATAATAATAATAATTGATTTTGATGATTTATAATTTTTTTTAAATGAATAATAAACATAAACATTATTTAAAACTAAAAACCACTTCATTAATTAAAGATTACATAAAAAGATACATTAAAATAAGTAAGATTTAAAAAACAACAAATATTAAAAAACCACAACCTAGAAAACATAACTAGTATCCATTTTTTTTTAAAAAAGAAAACAATATACGTTACTCGGAATTGCCGTCCTCGTTGTCGACATCATCGTCACGTCATTTTCATCAACATCATTCTCGTCATCGCCATCGGAATCCTCGCTCTCGATGAACATATCTGAATCCTCATCTGATTCGTCAAACAAATCATCGTGTCAAACTGTCAATACTCTGTCGGCGACTGAATATGAGCCTTATAAATGTGCTCCACCAACTCAGCACGAAGGACGTGATGAATGTCACGATTGTGTACTTCTTTTCTATTTGCCCTATACTTTTGGGTACCAACGGCTACTCTTTCGACATTTGGCAAAACTTCGTTTTTTTTTTGTATCGACATATCGCTCTTCTTTCGTCTTCAAGAATCATATTATGCAATATGATACACGCATACATTACATGTTGCAACCTTCTCACTTCATATGATCGTGCCCTGACTGCTAATACTCGCCAACACCTCTTGAGTACACCAAATGTTCGCTCCACGTCCTTCTTAACTGACTCTTGCGCCTCTTTAAGATAGCACTGTCAGTAAGATAGTAAACGCGCTTATATGCTATCCCATTTGCTTGAAAAGGTACATCGTGCGACTTTCCAAGGTAGATATCGTTGAATACCGGCGATTGGTCTAGAACATTGATGTCATTGTTTGCACCAGCTGGACCAAAGAATGCATGCCATATTAAAAGATCATGTGATGCGATTACTTCTAGAATAATCGTCGGCTCTCTGTGATCGCCTCATATGTACTGACCACACCATGCATTGGGGCACAATGCCCAAGCCCAATGTATACAATTGATACTACCTAGCATTCCTGGGAACCCATGCTTGCCTTCATGCACTGTGTACAACTAGTGGACATCGTTGATAGTTGGTTTGCGTAAATATTGTTGCCCGTACACCAAAGTAATAGGTTTGGAGAACTTGTACACACATTCCCGTATGGTAGGCTCGGACATCCTTTAATACTCGTCTCATTTATATGCGCCTATATCGTATCCTAACTGACGAATTACGGCCGTGCATTTTTGAATTGGAGAGAAACCTTTTTTGCATCTACCATCTAGCTTCCATTGAAAATTTAGAAAACGGCCTTCCAAATCGCCAACGATACGTAAGAATAACTCCTTCCTCATCCGGAACCGCCGTCGTGTAACAACCGTCAAATTTAGGTCAAAAATTTAACTTTTATAAAACCATAATTGGGATGCACCAAGTGGTAGTTATCGTAACGAGGTTTCCAAAAATATAAATAACACTAAAATCTGGGTTATAACGAAGAAGTTATGACCAATCGAAGATCCGCGACAATACCGGTAAAACACTGTAAAGCGTAAAATGGGAAATTACAATAAAATACTTTTTGGCCTTAAGTATCTAAATGAAAGTCGTAGATATCATTAAACCGTGAACATACATAAAAAGAACGCCCAAATCTGACTTCATATGAGAAAGTTATGATTTTTCGAAGTTTCGGACATAGCAGTAGACAGCTAAAAACTCAAAAACGAGATCGAGCGACTTTTTGCCAACTCGACCTAAACGAGAATCGAAGATCTCATCAATGGTATTTCAACGGTAAAAAGTCTGACAAAAACGGACATCGGATGAAGAAGTTATGGATTTCTAATAGAGTTTTCCTGTCCCGGCCTACTAAAAATAATATATTAATAATATATTAAAAATAAAGTCATAATTAGCCAACGGAGTCTAAATGAGAGTTGTAGAGCATAATCTCACCTACGCGTGGATATAAATGACGTCGAAAACGGAGCTCGTATGCGAAAGATATGAATTTCTGAAGTTCGAGGCACGAGTTTCGACGCTGTGTCAGATTTTTCAAAGTTCACGACGTGAACACTAAAATTCACGACGTGAACAGTCTGACTGACCATTTCAGAGCCACTTGACGATGACGCATGCCATGAGCGAATCAGGACAAACTCACGACGTGAACTTCGATTTTTAGCCTATATATAGAAATTGAAGCCTTTCGAGTTTGGCTGCTCATTCCTATTCTCTCTCCCACTTCTACTCTGTGTTAAGCATCCCGAGACCACCCCGAAACCCTGATAACAACCCTAGCACACGACGCAAGGCTCGAAGTCCCGAAGTTCCCAAGGAACTTGCTTCTTTCCAGTCGAAGTACTGCCCGAGTTTAGTCTCGCCTTCTTCAACTCACCACTTCTATCAAGTGAGTTCATACCCCTACAACCACACTATAAATGCTTTTTAAATGCTTTTGAAACACTTTTAAGGGGGGGGGGGAATACAAGTAAACACATGGTTAAAATCGTGTGAAACACCAATCTTTTGCTATACTTTTCGTATTGTTATTTTAACTATCATATGAAGTTGTTATCATGCAAAACACCTCACAACACAACTTTACCCTCTTGGGATACAATATGTTTTATAAATAGAAATATGTTTTATTTATACGTTTGCATACTACATCATATCAAGGGTAACCATTTCAACTATAACATGATGCTTTTACAAGAAAACTCAACTCATCATTACGCCTTTGTAACACGGTAGAAAAGGAAATCATTTCATACAAACGATTTTTCATCATATTACTCGTGAACTTGTTGTTAGCAATCATGTGATGTCATATGGCTTTGTTTGTACCAAAAGAAAATCCCCACCTATAACCAGAGTCTCTTGGAGGGAGAGCGTGACAAGTGTGTATAGATCTATACGGGGCTGACGACTCCGCACCCTGACTGTTAGCTACAGTCCCCGGGGTGACAAATGTCAACATTAGGTACTGCGTCTAGTATGGTTATGAGGAACTCACAACACACGGAAACAATGACTCATGCACGTAGTAATACATAAATCAATCATGCTCGGGGGGTAATAACTATATTATAGGGTATTATCAGCATGTTCAGAATTCAGGATAAACACTTCCACAACTAGTTTTACTTAATGATAAAACTATACACATTCAACTAAGTATGACATATTTACTTACAAATCATAGTATTGGACATTTGAGACTACTCCTCGTTGTTAGGAAAATATAGGTTTTTCCTGCGTCAAATTACAAACTTCTTATAGTTTTGTTTACTAATAAAACTATGCCTCATTATTTTAAGTATGACATATTTACTTACAAAATCATAGTCTTGGACATTTGAGACTACTCCTCATTGTTAGGAAAATATAGGTTTTTCCTGCGTCAAATTGCAAACTTCTTATAGTTTTGTTTACTAATAAAACTATGCCTCATTATTTGAAGTATGACATATTTACTTACAAAATCATAGTCTTGGACATTTGAGACTACTCTCCACTGTTAGGAAAATATAGGTTTTTCCTGGTTCGACACCTTCATTCTACACAAACAAAGATTTATAACTCCTTTTATGAGAAAATATCGGATTTTTTGGAAACATATACATCTAGTTACATATTGATATGACTACTTAGTGGATATGTTTGGGTTATATAAAATGAAGATTTGATAGACAGTGAAATGTTTGATTTCCGCCTTATCTTCTGTTCCTTGTTTGGTTGTGGACTTAGGGCAGATTCACCCAATCGACTTCCGGTTCAAGTCTTTGAGTTTATATAACTCATATGCACTAAGTAATCATGGTAGGAAATAACATTGGTCACTTTTCATATACAAATTCAAAGTATAATATATCACTCTTTAAACGTAAGAATCAAATATATTCTGTTATCAATGCTAAGGGCT